GCCTCTCCAAAACTTTCTTTTCCCTCTACTAAAAGGTTCACATTTAGAAACTTGTAACTCTCCCATGTCTTTTTCAGTGACCATGGTGATGGATGATAAGTTAATGTATCATGTAAAAGTGTTGCTATAAGTAAATTGCTCTTCTCAGATATAAAATACCTCCTCTGGTATTTTCACTGAGGGTTGTTCATCTGAAACACCAAACTCTAGCTGAAAGTGTGATTAATATGTCCTTACCTACTTTCCAGGGAGGGTTTTGGTATTCATTGTTGATTGATCAGTTTTCCTAGTTGTAGGTTCTTTTCAAGATCTCTTCAATTATATTTTATGGGAGAACTTTGATTTTTCTCATAGGTAATATCGGTCACATTTTTAGATGGAAAGTGTTTTGAACTGCTTCTGTAGTGTATCTAGTCCATGCAGAGAGAAGGTAGACAGTAAATATGCAAACAACATAGACATGGTGAGGGCTGTTTAGACACAAGGAGAACTTCCCACCCTATGTGGGTTTGGTCAGTGAATTAGCCTTCATCTGGTTACTGAGAATGGTTGTTACGGAGAATGTGGACAACTTTAGGCATGTCATTCTGGCCATTAAGTCCCATCCTTTTAAGAAAAACAACCAGGTCTCATGAAGAGTACAGGCTTTTTTTGGTTGCACATATTTTACATCTACCCTTTTGTTTTCATCTTACATTTAAGCCTTTCCTGCTTCTTTATTTTGGTTTTCTTTTTTTATCAAACTGCTTATGAAAAAGAAGTAGAAAATAGTATAATCACTTCTTGGCCTTTTGGATAAGATCAAGTGTAGAAAATCGTTAAGTACAGTGCCACTCCTAATACCGGATCTTGTGTTTTCTTTTCTCTTTACTCCCATGTGGGAGAGGGTGTGTTCCCTACATGTCAAAGAAAATGGTTTTGATTATTTTGTAGTCTACTTTTAAGACAGGATTCTCACCTGTCTTAAAAGTTGTGACATCCTTTACTGAGCCTTAAATTTCCCTGGGTTGCAGCTTGATCAGGTAGCCTTTCAGAAATATGCAGAGCAGCTCCTGCTGTTTCCTGGACATGTGTAGTCTGGGGTGAGGGGCTGTGCTTTGTGCCTCGGTCATTGGACGTCTTTTGAAGAGGTGATGTAAGAATCGCCATCCTTCTTAGTGAACATGGGGTGCTTTTGTATCTGAAGCCTGGGCAGCAAAGCTTTTGGGGAATGAAACAAAGCAGGACTTGGACCCATTAGCCATGGATTTGGGGTCCAGTGGTGGCTGAATGTCAGTTCTTTTCTAGTCCCATCATCATTATAATCACAGAGGTTTTGTGGTACCAGTTTCTGGAAATTCTGCTCAGGCCCATGTGCCTGGAGTACACTGACCTTTGCAAAATTAAAGAAGTGTAAGGAAGAGGGGCGGACAACAGGATCCCGGTGACTTCTATCACAATATTAAGAGCACCTTCAGACAGGGAGAAGCCACTCTCAGAAGTGGCAAGGACATGCATGTAACTATTTCTGCAGAGTTATTTTACCTAGCCTAACTCACACTCAGATTTTCTGTGGCAGTAGAGTGAACTTGTGTAATTTTGTGGTATTACTTTATAAAATGATTGCCTAATAAATACAGATATGACTCAGGAGGAGTGGCAGAGTGGAGAAGCACTTAAGCCTTTACAATAACAACTTGAATTTAGGGACTGGGATAGAAATGAAAGCTAAAACTGTACCAGTGCACATGGTTGGCAATGATAGGTGAATAGATGCTGAAACGCTCCCAGCTTGGAAGGATTAGTTTTAAAATCGGGAGTCACTGGAAAAAGATGGAGTCAGCTTTAATTTGGTCCCATGGGCTTGGCAGCATTTCCAACCAGCTGCATTTTCTTTCTGCCTCGCTGTCCTGAAGTGTGAGGGCTGCTTAGACGGTGCAGTGAGACTGATAACTTTGGACACGGTGAGGCCATGTCCTGCTACTCCGGTGACCTGTTCACTGTCTTGTCATCCAGGCCATGGGCTCCAGGAGACGGTGACAGTGTCCGTGTGCCTCTGCTCAGAAGGTTACTCCCCAGTGACCATGGGCTCCAGCTCAGTGACCTACGTGGACAATATGGCTTGCAGGCTGGCTCGTCTGCTGGTGACCCAGGCTGATCGCCTCACAGCTGGCAGCCATCAGACACTGCTGACTCCATTTGCCCTGACGGTGGGGGCGTTGCCTGCCTTGGATGAGGAACTCGTGCTGGCTCTGACCCATCTGGAGTTGCCTCTTGGATGGACTGTTTTGGGAAATTCTTCACTTGAAGGTGGGTCTGTAAATTCAGAATGTGCCTTATAATTTTTTTTAAAATTAGTTTATTTTTACATATTTTTGTGCATTTTTCCATCTCAGTGTGCCTTATAATTTACTTTCTGCTTTCCTGGGTAGGTTTTCTTGCCTACTTCTGACCCAAACCTGGCTCTGTTTTGCCGAGGCTTTCACTAGTCTTTGGGCTGCTTGTGCTACCTTGCTTCTGGAGGTGAAGAGCTTCGCTGCAGGACAGATGGGCTGTTTCTTTGTGGCCAGCTTTTGAACCAGCTGTTTGGGGCTGCGGTTCCATTAACTTTGGCACATTTTCTCACTGTGAGAAAGGGGTATTGCTGTGTGTTTCAGGCAAGGAAAAACAAGTTCACCAACTCTGGAACACTCCAAAGAAATGTGATTGTGCAGGAAATGGAACCAATGTGTTGACATCTTTAAAAGTGTCAGCATTACTGAGAGCATTCATTTTATGTTGGTACTAATTTTTGGAGTTGTCTCCAAATGTCTCCTGTTTACTAAAAGACTGAGTAGGCTGGCTAGTCTTATTACAACCATTTGGAACATGTGTATTAACAGAGATATAGTTGTTGTATAAAAGTCTGTCCTAGACATCAGGCTAACTTGTTGAATAGGTGTTTCTGATGTTGATTACAAGCTATGTAATTTAATTGGAAATACAGAGATTATCCTTATTTTGTTGAATGCAACAAAAATGATTCCCATGTATAGAGAGTATATTGCATGTACATATGAGGACAGGCAAAATAACTTACAGACAAAGGATAATATTCTGGGTACTGTAAATAATTCCTTGGAAATGTCTAGGAATTTTCTGGACTTTCTATAAGAACAGTTTATGCTAGGTGAGATAATGTTACCTCCAGTTCAGATGATAGTCTTGTGTTAAAGGTAGAGCCAACACCCATGTTTTACTGTGAAAGTCATCAACTTTGGGAATTTGTTTCTTTCCATGTGTTTAATCTTGATATTCACTTTTAAGACCATAGTGCTGTTCCATATGTATGCTGTGGATAATAGCTAATTTAAAATTGGTACACTTTACAGATGCCTTTCTAATGGTACTTTTGCCAAAATTTGTCTAGCTGTTTAAAACAAATTGGGCAGTTAGATGAGTAAATTCAACTATAGCTTTTTCTACATAAATTTTAGTTTATTCCAGAAATTGTATTACATTCTGGGAAGCCTACATATTTTCATTGTCTTGATAAGTCAAAACAATTGAACATAAACTAATCATTTTGCAGTTGGACACAGACAAGTTTATTTAGTGAAGGGTTGGCATCAGTGTCCTAGGTCAACTGGGATCTGTTAGATTTTGAGAGTGGACTTTAGGGGATGTATTTTGACTCACTGTCTATTTAAATCTCTTTGGGGGGATTCTGCTAACTTCGAACTATTTTGGATTTTTTTGTTTAACTGAATCCTTAATTTAATGGTTCTCCCCACCCCCTGATTATAACTGCCTGGTTTATTTTTTCAGCTTTACTGAGGTATAATTAACAAGTTATATTTAGGGAGTACAATGTGATAGTTTGGTGTTCATATATACATCATAAGAAGATTTCTACAATTGCATTAATTTTTGAGTAAGAACACTTATGTTCTACTCTATTAGCAAATTTCAGTTACATAATGTATTATTGATGATAGTCACAATATTATACATTGTCCCCTCAGATCTTATTCATCTTATAACTGATAATGTGTACTTTTTCATCAGGCTCTATTTCTTCCACCCCCAGCCCCTCGTAACCACCATTCTTCTCTTTGGGTTTGTCTTTTTTTTTTTTTTTTTTGATTTTACATAAAAGTGACACTATGCAGAGTTTCTTTTTCCTGTCTGGTTTATTTCACTTAGCACCTTTTGGGATGTAATGGTTTTCTGCAGTGGCATATTTTCATTCCTTTCTCTTAACCTTTTGTGTATCTACTCTAGGGTTTTGCTTCATGGTTACCATGCAGCTTACATAAAACGTATGGCTATTATCGTCTAATTATAACCGATTACTTAAGTGCATATAAAATGTCTACTTTTTCACTCTTGTTTTTGATGTCAGTTTTTTCATAACAGTATGTGTGTAATACTGTTGTGTAGCTATTTTTAAGCACTTGTATTTCAACCTTTATAGTAGAGTTATAAGTGATTTACCGACTGCCATTAGAATAGTAGCATATTCTGAATTTATATACTTACCCAGTGAATTTCATGCTTTCCTGTTACTAATTAGTGTCCTTTCATTTCAGATTGATGAGTTCTCCTCAGCATTTCTTGTCAGCCTGGTCTAGTACTGATGAACTCATTCAGATTTTGTTTCTCTGGGAGACTTGATTTCATTTTTGAGGGATAACTTGGCTGGATGGAAGATTCTTGGTTGGCTTTTTCTTCTCTTTAAAGCAGTTGAATATATCATCCCACTCCCTTCTGGTCTGAAAAGTTTTTACTAAAAAAATCTGCTCGTAGTCTTATGAGGGTTCCGTGTACATGACAAGTTGCTTTTCTCTTGCTGTTTTAAAGATTCTCTACTGTCTTTAACTTTTGACAATTTAATTATAATGTGTTTCAGTGTGAATGCCTTTAGATTCCACCTGTTTGGAATACTATATTGTAGGACTTGAGTCTATTTCTTTCCCCAAGTTAGGGAAGTTTTCAGCCACTATTACTTTTTAAAATTTATATACTTATATATATTTTGCATCATTGTTCATTTTTAAACAATGTTTACTCCCCCTTCCTCAGGTGTAGGCCCCATAAAGTTTCGCACCCCACCCCCCATTCACCTGTGTACCATCACCACAGTACCCTGTGATCCCTCCCTCCTTCTGACCCCTCTCCCTCCTCATCCCCTGCAGGATGTCTCTGGTTTATAATTGTCTGTTTCTGTTTTGTTTTGTATTGTGATTATTTTTATTATTTTCCCCCTATGTCTTATTTGGTTTTCCTATATTCCTCCTATAAGTGAAACCATCTAATATTTTTCTTTTTCCTTCTGACTTGTTTCACTGAGCATGATCCTTTTAGTTCTATCCATGTTGCTTTGAATGGCATGAACTTATCTTTTTTTGTTTGCTGAGTAGTATTCCATTGTGTCAAAGGACACAAAAAGATTAATTCAAAAGGATACCTGTATCCCTATATTTATTGTAGCACCAATTGCAACAGGTAAAACATGGAAACAACCCAAATGCCCAAAAATAGACTATTGGATCAAGAAGATGTGGTATATATACTCAGCCATTATTTGTTTGAATAAGCTTTCTGCTCCATTATCTCTCTCTTCTTTGGAGCCCCTACATGTGAATATTGATCCACTTATTATGTCCTATAAGTCTCTTAAGCTATTTCTACTCTAACTTAATTCTTTCTTTTTCTTCTCTGATTGGAAGTGTTCCACTGCTATCTTTGACTACACTGATCCTTTCCTCCACTTGATCTCATTTGCTTTTCAACCACTTGATTGAAATTTTCAGTCCATTGATTATATCCTGCTGTGCTGTGTTTTCTGTTTGGTACTTTTAAATATGTTCTGTCTTTTGTTAGAATCCTCACTTTAGTCATGCACTGCTCTCCTAACCTCCAGGCACATCTTTGTGATCATTATTTTGAGCTTTCAATTGGATATATCATTTATCTCCATTTTATTGAGATCTGTTTTTGGAGATGTAACTAGTTCTTTTGTTTGAAATACATTCTTCTATTTTTCTTCATTTTCCTTGACTGTGTTGATTTCTGTTTATTATATAAAACAGCACTCTCCTCATCTTGACAGGTCTTGTGTAGAAAATGAACCTCATTAATCAGCTCAGCCAGTGTCCCTGGTTTTCTCTCAAATGTTTGTAACTAGCCAAGGTATCATCTTTGTTCTTAGTGAGGTACAATAGTTGAGGGCATGCCTTGGGGAGGAGCATAGTCAGCAACTAGGTGCTGCCAGCACTCAGGTAGTTACTTACCAAGTGTTCAGTCAAACCTCCTTCCAGGGAAAGAATAGGAGATGATTATTCTACCCTTTTCCTCTATGCTGAATCCTGATGGTTGGGGAGGATAGACACATTAAGTGCTTCTGTGCTCCTTAAGAATGCCTTTTCTGGCCCTCCCTGGTGGCACAGTGGGTTAAAGCACTGTACTAAGAATCAAAAGCTACTTCCGCATTAGTTCGATTCCCGCCTGCCCTGGAGGAGCTCCACATGGCGTGGCAGACCTCTCCTGACCCGCCCGCTGCTCCCCTCAGCAGTGTACTTCATTGATCTGCCTGTTCTGCTCCCTGCTCTGTCCCTGGTGAATCCTCTCACCCTCCGCATCTCTGGCCTATACCCCAGTTCTTTATGAATAAATAAATAAATTAAAAAAAAAAAAGAATGCCCTTTCTGTTTGTAGTATTGTGGGTACAAGCCCCTTTAGTTTTCAGTTAGGTGTTTGGGGAGGTGTCATTCCCTTGCAGTGTGAACCTTAGTGCTAGAGGTGCTAGAGGTTTGGTATAAATCCCTTGCTTTTCAACTGTAAGTTGGAAATTGTGGGTTCTCTCCTGATGGTGTGGTGCTGATCTGGGGTGGAGTTTGTGGTGAGTTTTTCTCAGCCTGTTTAACTCATTTCCATATGCGTATTTTCCTGTTTTACCCTTGTGTTGGAATCATTGAGTTAGTCTTTGGGTTTCGCAGGGAATTACTCCCTATGGAACTGTACATATGGTGCTTCTTGGAAAGGAGGGAATTTTGGAGTCTTTCATAAGCCATCTTTTTCACTCTTATTCAGTTCAGTAGAAGTTTAATCTAAACAGTTTTGAATCTTAAAGTTCCATATGTCTTTTCCTCTTGTGCATATTTTATTATTGGTACCTGCATTTGAGGTAGATAAAATTACAAAGCAAGAAATCAACAGAGGCATGGGATTCACTGGAGGTTTTTATGTGTTAGTGGTAACTATAGCATCATAAGTAGAAAAATTCCTTAATTATTTCTCCTAACACCTATTTGGGGTGAGGTGGTATC